CATGAGAAAAAAAGACAAGCCTCGCGATCCAGTGAGCGACTGTGAGCTGAACAGTCAAGTATGTGGGTGACTGGGTTGCTACAATGAATGTCCAGTTTTGTAAATAAGATGCAAATGAGAGTTTTGCTTCCCTGTCCAATGGTCTGTAACCGGTCAGTTGGTATTTTCTAATAACTCCCCCGCGAAGGCCTTCTTTCACTGGCAGGCTGACCGAACTCTCAGGCATTTAGGAAATCAAGACTGTAACCAGCTGGCAATGACGGTGTCCTCTCGTTGGATATCTGGAAGACAAGTGCCACCTGAATGACAACCAATAAATACACCCGATCTACGAATATTTCGGCATGGAAATTATCGTTGTTTAGGTCAAATGGCTGGTGGATAGCAGCCTTTATGTGTTCACTATAAGCGTTCTGTGCTTCATATGCGCCACCATATCATCCTTATCCAAAGGGCTCCTACTGTTTAGCCACACCCAGATGACCTGACAGTTTGCACTTGGGTAAGTTGGTGGCCATTGAAATGTTCTCTCGGGGATGCACCTTGCAAACGGTATTCATTTTGTTGTACACGCAAAAGCCACACGTGGGTCGGGCATTGTCGGTCAAGCTTGATGCTACAGGGGATTTCCGAGGCGGATACCAGTCCATCATTGATGCATTTTGTAGACTGGCCTCACCGGCCACCAGCTGATGAAACTGTCTAACACCCACCGCTGGTTGTTGAGCAGTTTCGCTCAATTGCTGTTTCAGCCTTTCGCACCGGTTCACAAAGGCTGCACCCATTCGGTCTGATATTGGTTATCTTTCCAGCCGCCTTAAGGATTCGGTAACACAGAAGCACATACAGTATTGGAAAACTGAGATCTTTGTTGAGGTAATTTTGGAACTAGCTCTGTATACAACCGTTTGAATGGTTTTTGTGCTAATTGAAAATTTGATTTGTGTGCGTTGAGAACTCGGCGATCTTCCTTGATATTGGAGATCCATTGGTGCCAGTATTGGAAAACTGAGATCTTTGTTGAGGTAATTTTGGAACTAGCTCTGTATACAACCGTTTGAATGGTTTTTGTGCTAATTGAAAATTTGATTTGTGTGCGTTGAGAACTCGGCGATCTTCCTTGATATTGGAGATTCCATTGGTGCTTCTTTTAGTTGTCTCTAATGGGCATTGCGTGCCGGAGCAGCATACACAATAGGGATGAAGATCGACGTTGCCCCAATTCGATTCTAGTGGGCATAAAGCTGAACGTGATGGTATAGTAAAGGTTGATTACTTGAACTCTGTTTCGTACTATGTTGGTGTCGCCGTTTTGTTGTTAGTTATTTTGCAAGGTGACTAAGAGCAATCGCCGACCCCTGTTCGTTTATTAAGGATGGCTATTCCCTCAACTGAGTTCAGTGTTTGTGCTATGTTGACTGCGAAGCATGCACCTCCTGAGTTTGAAGTGGAGAAATTCCACTTCATCCATAAGTTTCCTGAAAGCCCTTCGATAGCCCACAATAGACGGATTACCTTGATAAAACCAAATCAATTTGCAAATGTGTACTTTTAGCGAAGAGTATAGTCGGTGTATTTCTAACGAATTTAGCACACAAATATCCGGACATCGAAGTGTTGCCAAAATCTAAACGTTTGTTGGAGTTTGTCAACTGTGGTTCGTACCTGAAGCAATGAAATTCTTTTAGTTGATTAGATGTATTGAAAAATGTAAGGGTATTATTGGGATTGCCTCAAGCTCCCTAGGTTCAAGATTATGGTAAGTTGATCAGGGGAAGGCAATAAGAGAGTAGATGTATACGGTGAACAAGGAAAAGACAGTAAGCCGGAAGCGATAAACATTATTATCATGACACTGGGGTTAGCTGCCCTGCGTAAGGCTTTCGGGAAGGGGGGGAGGGGTACCTTATGTTTTGACACACCGTTTGTATGTAGACATGTCAGAAGTAGGCAACTGGATATCACACCCTCCGAACTCTGTAACACGCGACATCTGACTAACCCAGAGATACAACTTGAGACTCAATGAATGGTTTGAAACGCCTGATTGATGTTCATTCAGTGGTCGGATTGGACCAAGTGGGTGGGAATGGCGGTGATTAGGAGTTTTATAGATCTGGTGTTAACAGAAGCCAGGTAACATCCCTAAACGCTTCCACGAATGCGCTCAGTTACTTTTTATGTGGCTCGTTCTCTCACACCAGCCAGTGTTGAGGTTCATGTAGTGTTTTCCTGCACTGTAAACTTCGGAACAGTGGTAGATCCCCCTTATAGAATCTCCAGTATCTTCCAGTTTCAGACATGGTTTGTGAATCTTTGGGCAAAACCACAACCAGAACAAGTTTCGTTGTCCATTAATTACTTCCAGCAAAGTAAATCCATTGTTGGCTGCACTTGTTTCGCTAGAGACCCTGACCATGGAAAATAACTTGCGTCATGTTTGCCAACGCTGTGCCAATCACTTCAGGAATTCCGTGTACACGTAAGCTTATGTAACTGGTGGCGCATTTGCATAGATTTCACACGAAGCATCATGATAATTTGAAGATAACCCACGGTAATTGGACTAGATTTCCTACCGAGGTTAAATTGTATCGTACCGGAAGAAACGAAGAAGAAAATTCAGACGTCTCTACTTTTGTGCAATTATTCACAAAATTACGAAACAACATGAAATAGTAGATAATAGACTGATTATCTCCTCCACACCTTTTAAACAACATTGGACGTGTGAAATTTAATAAACGTACATATGAAGTAATTAATGTTCTGAATGCTATACAGTACTCGGCTTTATCATGCCTCCCCCGTTTTACCCTACTAGTGGTTAGTAGAGATGCGTATGTTAATATGCTCGCGATTTACAAGGTACACAACAGAGGAGGGGCTAAGTGTTGAGGTAATTTGCACACTTTTTGTTCCATTTGGTTATTCTGGAACATATCTGTTTCCGGGATAGCTCCCATACATCAAAAATCTAAGTTACTCAGTTTCTGCAAGATTACCTCCAGCTTTAGCAGATTTCGTGGTACAACACGAACAAGAGACGATTTAGAGGTGAACTATTCCGTCAACTAAAATCTACCTTGCCTTGATATATCAATGTAGATTAACCCAGAAAAGCTTACTCGCTCTGAAAAACTCCATGAAGAATGATTTATGAGTAACAACTCCAATGTCTGGAACGCAGCCCGTCGAAGGGCTACGTCGAAGGCTCGTTTTGCACTAAAACATAGTGGAAAACTCAGAAGAATTACATTTTTATCTGTCTGTTTGCACCTTACAAGGCAGCGCCAGGTATGACATAAACTCACTTCTGTGTGAACCCGGTACGACAACTAATCTTGTGTATTTGAATTCCGGCTGTGGCACTAGTCAAGGCCTCATTACAATTCCCAAACTTTGAGGGCAGTTTTCTAGACAGATCACCGTAGTTGTGGCTTACTTTTGAACAAATGTGATGACAAATCCAATTGATTCCATCACTGATGCAATTACACTGAGTGACAATGCATTGGCCTTGAATTTCGCTCAAGTCTTCTACTGCAGGTAAAAGTCAGCCTTAAACTTCACCCCATCCAAAAACGTCAATAGATGGCTATATTGTTAAAATGGTGTCATGCTGTTCGTATTCAGTAGTTTGTACGAACCGAAACTGCATTGTAGATATTCATCCGAAAATCATATCATTTAGTGTGACCTAGCTAACGGCGACTTGGATCCTGTCTTCAAAATGTACGTGTGAACTAACTGCGATCATGTGAAAATCCACATTAGCGTTTCATTTTTATGCGATCAAGTCTTTACGTCAACACGTGTTTCAAAACTTGAGTCCTGGCTACTAGGTCACACAGTGGAGAATTGTCACAAATATTGACCTTGAATTTGCAACTAGCGTCCTTCGTGAACGTCTGACGTTTACGCTTGCATTTTACGTATTAGTCTACTTGCATACACGTTACGCAGGTGGCTTTGAAAAGTTTTCCTTTGAAGAAAGCAGTCGTACAGTATAAGATGAATGTCAAGGGTTGTTTTCAATCCTTTATTTTTTGCTGTACTGTGCCACTGTATTATACTTCTAGCTACGCTGCTACTCTACCGCTACTTTTGTGTACTACTAAGCTGGACAGTTGCTGGAGGCAAATGAAATATGCCGCCTTTTGAACTGCTGGAATATTTCTGATGACTCAGTGAGCCGGAAATCACTAAAACAAGCTTCAGTATTCCAACTAGGTTTCTTTGCCGTAGCAGCTATAAGCGATACAGTTTAGATTGCGCTGGAGTAGCCTGTAAAAGACCGAGAACGTCGAATAATATTTCCTAGAGATTGAATGCACAAAGTGACGGTGCTCCAGATAAGGAAGTCCAACCACGTTAGGTGAGCACGAAGGTATTCATCATCTACCTAAAGCTGATTCTAACTGCCCCTCTTAATTGATGCGTAACGTACGTAACGCACAGATGTCCTTCAAACATTTCGGCAGTACCGAGTATCAGGTCGTCTGGAAATGCCAGTCTGTATCTGTTTGCTTGGTACTCCAAAGTTTCTAAACCCGCAGTTTCTGCACAATCTAAATAAGGGGCACTTGAACTAGCTCAAAATTATGTATGGTATGTTAGAATTACGACAGCCAAGGCGAATATTCAATTCGACTCCCTCCCTTCAGTTTCCATGTTCTCATATGGTTTATCATGCGCTTCAGCAGCTCTATAAAGTCCCATGCATCGTCTACTGCTTGAGAATGTGCTCACAAATAAGCAAATGCACACATCCATTGCAAGGTTTATACGTGCGCTGAGAATCTTATGCTTTCTCCAATCAGAATCGAAAACTATCTTGGAGTTATGTCCCGATTGGTTGGCACGATGACTGGTAGACAACTATTATCGAAGCAAGTTATGACTTAAGAAAATACTGTGTATGTATTAAACTGATTTTTGGTTCGGATTTTGCTTTGGTTATTGGATTCGGACCGTTCGCTCTGGACAAGTTATGAACCATGCGTCAAATATCGAGATGGACTGCAATACTTGTGTGTTCTGGAATAATTGTTTTGACACTTTTTTACATGCGGGAAATTTTGTTTTTGGTGTACGCAGCACTAAGACGAATATTGTTATCTTCTGGTAAATCATCGAATGTTGCAAACACATTGAAACAGTTGGAAGCAAGTCTGCCACTTAAAGCTGCAAGGCAACACCAGACATGCAGAAGCATTTGCAAAGCTCTGCCACTTCATCTGACCCCACAAGAGAAACGCCTCAGATTGGTTGGAAATCTGACAATCTCAAAAGATGAGCTAGCTCGTATGGATATGCAACGTCTTTCACGGGAGATTAAACCTTATGTAAACGGGGGTTCCTGGATGTACCGAGATCCTGGTGTGAGTCAAAATCAAAGATGTCACGTCAGTGACAATTCAGCTGTGGCCATTATCATACCATTGCGTAATAGATGGCATCAGGTACCTGCACTACTTTCCACTCTCATACCACTGTTACGGAAACAAAAAATATGTTATCGTATTTTTATTGTTGAGCAAGCTGATGATGCTCCATTTAACCGTGCCAAACTTTTCAACGTTGGTTATGCTGAGGCAATCAAAGTCTTCCGTTTTGGCTGTGCGATTTTTCATGATGTTGACCTTGTTCCAATCAACGATCTCAACCCTTATGACTGCAATTTGGAAGCATCAAAGCATGTGATGCATCTTGGAGTTGGGTTAGATGTGAGGGGTTTTAAGTTGAACTATCCAAGACTTGTCGGAGGCGTGCTTAAAATGACAACTAGACAGTTTGTCTCAGTAAACGGTTTCTCGAACAAATATTGGGGTTGGGGCCAAGAAGACGATGATATGGAAAGGCGTTTACGGCAACGTAACCTGAGTTACGTTCACATAAGTCCAAGTGTTGCAAGATATGCGGCAATGACACATGAAAAACAACCCAAAGTTCGACGGGATGAGCACCTTGATCTCCTCAAATCTGCTAACGTGCGACTATCCAGCGATGGGTTAACTACTTTGAAATACAAGGTAATCCACATCCATGAAGACAGCTTCTACACTCTGGTATTGGCGGACCTTCGTGAGTGACAATGGGTTTACTTGTCTCAGACTGTCAGTCCTTCAAGCTATTCGCTTCTTGGAGAAACATCGTGTTGCGTGTCATCGAGTGACGTTTTTGGCTTTGCAGATAGGTCCAATTCTAAAAAAGGTCATCGTTGTATTTTTCCTTATCACCTAACTTTATTTTTATACTTTTTTAAGTAGTGTACTTCACCGAACAAAATGAATGGAATTAACTAAGGTCTTTTCATGGTCGTGGGCATTTATATTATACTTCTAAAACATTATTAAGCATCACGTTTTTTTCCTGTCGTGAGATTGTCTTTTGAGACTTCGACTAATGTGTAGGTAGGTGTAGGTGTTTCTGTAAAATAACTCCTGTAGTAATCTGATCAGTCTACCCATACAAACATTAGCGATTAACTCAATAGAAAGCAACGATTTGATTGCACAATCCTGCTGCGTTCTGTTGTTCAGAGAGTCGATGCATTCTCAACAATCTCCCTCAAATATCTTACATGCTGAGTGAGTTAAAGTACCATGTAGTTGAACTGTACCCGAGTGCTATATAGTGTGATTGATTTGGTAGGTGCTTAGCCCTCTGAAGTATTTCAGTTAAACTGAGTGCGTGTAGCCTGCTACGGAGTACGCTACAATAATCAAGAACAGTTGCTATATTTAGGCAACTAAGACAATTCATGAATGTGATGGTTTTCTTTAGCAAAGTGCGCAGGGCATGAACTAATGTATAACAGCCATGGCAAGATTCTTCATCAACCTGATTTCCTGCTTTCATACCCATCTGTGCGTGTTTTTCCGTAAACAATCGTTTAAAACTCCATTTTATGTAAATAAAAGACTTGAATTATATATATATATATATATATATATATATGTATATATATATATAGTCGGTGCTTTCCCGTTCACCTGAAACTCATTCAACAGTGGCGATTAGTTTTACTGTTTGCTGAGACTATGTCGAGGGGTTTGGTTCTTCGGCGGCTCTTGCTGGGTGGGAAGCTGTAAACCTCAAA